CAGCCTATAAAGCCATCTTTAACCCAAAATATTACAGAAGGCATTCACCATATTTTAAAACTGGTGTCATTATTTAAAACAAAGGCTTTTTACCCCTTTCTGCTCACCTGTTGTGTTTTAGTGTTAAGATCCTGGAGCTCCAGCGATGCGTGCTGCTTCTCTGTCAGCTTCACTTCTGCCAGCGTAAAATTAACATCTGACACATTCTGCACACACACCTGGATGTACTTCCTGTGGGATCACGTCCAACAGGTCACAGGTCAGACAGGTTTGGAAAGGTAGTGGTAAAGACTGTTAATAAGTTAAATCTAAACTTTCATCTTTCCCAACAATAAAAACTAATTAAAAAGAGGAAGAGACTTGCCTGTTACCAGCAGAAAGCAAAGAGTGTTTGGTCTTGAAGGGGATGTAGAAGGTGAGGGCAAGCAGTGTGGAGTAGATCGACCACGGACAGTCGATAGACATCTGTGTACACACACAAGTTTACGTTTCTCAGACTATCAGCTATCTGGCAAATATGTATTTGGTTGATGACTAACAATCATATTCTTTACAATTTATGTCAGCTATTTGAAATAGTCAATTTTTTATCTTAAAAAAGAAAGAAAAAACAAAACTACAATATCTTTGGGCCCAAAGTGTCATCAAATATAAAACCTTCACCACACAAAATCATCAATTCTTCTATAATGTGAAAGCATTAAAGTAGCAAACCCTCACAATAACTTAAAACATTTATTAGAATATTAGTGATTAATCATCTTATGAACCACTGATCGATTGATCACTAGAAAATGTAATCCACACTATACACAGGTACCACCCACAGCTAGACTACCAGTGATCTGTAGCATGCATGTCTTGTGTCTCACCCTCTGGTCGATGGCGGTCATCGGTGTGTCGGGATGACTGTAGCTCCGTGGTCGATGGCGGACCTCCCCATTAGTCAGCCTCTCATTGGCGGGCCGGTCAGCCCCGGACGGGATTATGCACAAAACCTCCAGCTGAAACTCCAGAGTGTGGTAGGGAGGGGCCGGAGGAAGGCTGATGCTCGTCACCTTTTCAGACGACTGAATGGACAAAGTGCTTTCACCCACCAACTCTGAACACGAGAGGGGGACAGAAAAGATGGCCGCGTGAAGTTTAGAGCTCTGGATCTATGAGTTTGTTTATGGGCACAACTCATGAACACCAAGATTCTGTGCAAACCCCACCCACCCACACAGTGGAGATCCATATAGTTCAGACAACATTACTCAAATAACAGGTGAGATAATCTAAGCAGTTTGGCATGGAAAGAATGACAGCAGTAAAGTGGACTGTCAGGAAAGATCACTACTCCAAATCTTAAAAGAATCATTTCTTATATTCAGTGTAGT